TTTATAATTTCTGATTTATATCTTTTTAAGAGATTTATTTATATAAATGCAACAATTTTTTTGTTTAAATATCTAATATTATCTGCATAAAAAAATCTATTTTATTTAAATAAATTAATATTAGTAAAAATATTTATGATTTAAATATATAATATTATCTGCATAAAAAATATATTTACGTAAAAATTAGTGCTTTATTAGATAATTTTTTTGGGGACATATCAAGTATATATGATAAAATTTATATTTGAATTTAAAATAAAAAAATGTTGAACAAATAGCTCATTTAATTGAATAAATAAATTAGAAAGAAAATCAAATTATATGCAAAATGAATATATAATAATGCATCTGTAACAAACTTTGCACACCAAGCATAGCCATTTCATGGCGATGAATTATTTACTTTTGAATTTGTATGAAAAAATATATATAAGAAATAAAAGTTATCAAATAAAGAATTAAATAATCAAATAAACTAATAATATAAGAGCATTTGTTGGGGATGATGAGGAGTAAAAACCATAATGAAGAAATAAGTAATAAAGTAAAAACAACGGAAAAGCACAATACACCATGATTTAATGTGAACAATTCAACATAGGGAGAAAATAATGTAACCACACCATACCAAAAAATTCATTATGAAAATTGAGAGAAATAAGTACAGAGCTCTCTTTTCTCACATGCACCGTTCTCACATTTGCCATAACTGAAAATATAAGGGAGAGTTAAATAAAATAGCACCAAGGGACTCAAACCTTCAGAAAATGAGAAAGAAAATCGTTTAGTCGGTCTCGAAGCGCTGCAATGCTAGTTTAGGCCGCTGAGGCACTCAAGCCTATATCTTGCACCATTGTAGCGTTGTGTATATCTATATTGTTGTGTCACTCTGCTCCCTATCGTTCAGCGCTAGGGCGCTCAGGAACACAACATCGTGGCGTTGTACGGAGAAAAAAAATTCGGGTATCAACACAATCAGATTCCCCACATAACAACATTTTATCGAGTTACTTAGGCTTCGTTTGAGTCATCTTGAGACAACTATTTTTTCTCTACTTTCAAAATATTTTTGAACTAAAAAATAACTTTATAAAGCAGTAAGAAAACCATCCCAAACAAAGCCTTATTCAACAAAAAATAATCATTTACAAACATAAATAAATAAACAAATCAGAATTCAATTGTATTCAATTATGCAAATAAACAAACATAAACAAATCTTATGCCAACAAATCTCAAGCAATTCATTGAGCGCCCTTAATTCACTTAAACTTTAAATGTTATAAACACTTTTGCTCTAACATTCTAACCTCATCAACTACACAAATAATATATTTACATTTTTTTTAAGTGATGAACAAATAAAAGCTTTATGTTACTGATTATTAATTCTTAGTAAAAGCTTAATGTTACTAATTATTAGTTCTTAATATGCAAGAACTTGAATTAATGATGAAAAAAAAATCTGAACCTCCCAACAACTCAGCCACTGCTCCATTTATATGTGCGTTTAATTTTGTTGGAATCTTTCACTTTCTAAAGAAAATTCAAGCGTGTATACGAAGAGGATGGTGGGCTGCGATTTTGACTGGAAGAGAGAAAGGAGAGTTCTAACAACCAATAGCCATCAAAAGAGATGAAATAATTCTGTGAGGATAAGGACGTCGTCCCGAGACGAATCAGAATGCGGCACGTCACTTTTTTGCTGTGTATCGCGGCTGTGTAATGCTGTGTATCGGATGACATGACACATTCTAATTCGCCTACGAATGATCCGATGTCCGCACAGAATAATTTTTCTAAAAAAACAGTAAGGATGAGCTCTTTCAATCAGCTGTGGATACCATAAATTTCAGATTTTAGCTATAACTAATTATCAATCAATATTTCTTTCTAAAGTTTGCTCAATGTAACTCCAAATAAAATAAAATAAAATCCATCAGTGCCATATATCAGTAGGTCCCACTTAGAACTTATAGATTGTAAAAATTCAAAAATGTAACTACACACCTAGCCAGAGTGATCAAATATCCCCTACATGTATTTGTGTTCTTTTTCATTATTTTACTTGCATGTTATATTTTGTGAAGTTAAATTATAAATAAATTATATACTTATAAATGGGCAATTATTGAGTACCCATTTGTCTTTAACCCAGTAAAACACAATTTAATTTATCAAGTGAATTCATCCAAAAACAAATAGGCATCAATATAACTTAGGCTTCATTTGGGACGATTTTTTTATTGTTTCTTAAAATAAATTTTTAATAAAACTATGTTTTAACAAGCAATAAAAAAACCGTCCCAAAAGAAGCCTTATTCCAAAAGGCTCACCTTCGATTCCTACAACTACATATTCTCGATACTTCACGAGAAAGAAATTATCATTTCAAACACTATTATAGTAACTGTACATGGCAATGATTCATTGTGTAGAAAGATTATTCATTTAACCATTCCAGAGCGTGTGTGTGTGTATGTCACAGTTAACAAGACGTCGGCAAAAATTTCTCTATCACGGTGATTTTAGAAGGAAAAAAATGCATCTTGTCTCTTGGAAGAATACTTATGGTCCGAGGAAATGTGGGGGCTTTGGTATCCTTAGTATTTTGTCCTTTATTATGCATATTGATATTCCATTACTCCTCGGATCTATAACTCTAAGAGACAAGATTATGAAGTGCTACTTTTGGAGGACTTTCTTCAGCACCTTTTGCTCATTCTGAGTCCAACATAGATGTCGGTTTTTCTACATGTTTCTTTTCGCTTTTGGCGGTTTTTCAGGATTGCAATTATAATTTTATAGTTCTCTGCTTCGATCATTATTGATAGATCTGTTTTATTCTTCCTTCCATAGCATTGCATTTATCCTTTCTGGATGTAATTTTCTTCTATAGTCAATGAAAAATTGAGCTTTTCAAGCCCTTGAAATGATGATTTCTTCCCTCTATTTCCCGCTTAGAAATGAACAGTATTCTGTGACTGAGTTAAAGAAGACAACCATTTATACGAGTGTTAATTTGAGGTCATGGGTTGAATCCAAAACTGACCCGGCACTATTCGGGTCAACCCGGACCTGACCCATTTTTGCAAACGGGTCAGTTTCCGAACCCGAACCCGACCTGCTTCAGGTCCGGGTAAACCCAACCCGACCCAAATGATATGGTGCCAACGAAAAACTGCTAGTTTTCGGATCCAAAAACGGATCAATCTTGCTTTTCGGGTCAAAACGGGTCAATCTTGGATTGCCAGGTCAAAACGGGTTTTCGAGTCAATTTCAAATCAACGTGTCAACCTGAACCCAACCCATTTCGGGTTCGAATCAATTCAAACTCGAAATTTTCGGATTGGATTCGAGTCGTATTTTTAGATTTTAGATCAGGTCCAATATTGACACCCCAACCATCATTATTTAATAGCAACAACCGAGACGTAAGCGACTCCTATTAACGAATCAAGCACTCATCAATAATGGGCAAGACAAAGTGGGCCACAAAAGGTAGGTCCTGAACTTCCCGTTAGACCTCGTGAGAAAAAAAAAAATCAACATAGGAAGACATCAATCACCTCTCCATTCCAGCTGTTGCCAACTCATAGAGGAACCCAACTAGTACTCCGATTAAAAATTTGAAGCCACCTCCAATCATTGCACTGTTCTTCTCTAGCTTTAAAAGGCTCAATAAACCAACCAAAAAAATCCATATCACAGTATTATCACATCATAAACCAACCAACCAAAAAAATTCATAGAAGAAAATTTCTCTATTTTATTAGATAGGGCTTAGGCTTAATACATGACCCCTTCCAACGTTTTATATGCATGAGAAATATGTTAAACATGCGTCTCATGTAAGCATTTGCTGTAAGAGCATCTCCAACTGAATATCAAATCTTCCGATATTTGCTTGTGGGTGAACAGTGCGACGCTAATATTGGCGTTGCACTGTTCACCAACGCAAATTTTTTGTCTCAACCGGATTTGATGAAGAAAAGCATCAAAGAGGAGAAAGAATGTTACCTTCGCAGAAGCCAATAAAATGGAGTTCGATTGAAGATGAATCGCAACATTTTTTAGTCTCACTGCATTTTAGAATGAAAAATAAGATTTTCAGTTGGAGATACTCTAAACCCAGCAACTTCTAAAATATTAGGTAAAAATGTGCCTTTAAATTTACTGAAATCTATCGCTTTCGCAAGCACGCGAGCGTGCGTTCATGAAAAAGGATGGTGGGGTTCAACTTTAGCTGGATGGGAGGAGAGCGAGAAGAGTTTTAAAAATCTATGGCAATCAAAAAAACTGGGAAGAACTCTTTTAAATCATTCATTTATGGATACAATCTAATTCAGATTTTAGCTACAGCTAATCAATAAATGCCCTATGTCACTAGGTCCCACTTAGAACTTACAAATCCTGATACTTGAAAGATATCTTTCTTTTTTCCTTTTTTTCCGGATCGAGCGCTGGCTTGTTAAGAAAAAAAAAAAAACTATCGGACCCGCGCTCTAAACATTAATTCTCACACAGCAAGAATAATAAAATATTTCCACCATGTCAATGCTAATCTACAGAACACGTGATACACTGGCGCCCTCTACCACACGAGCTTGAGATGATCACGTATTCATCTGTTCCCCTAACTCATCATGGATAAGAGAGTCCTATTTACTAAATGATGCAAATTATTCTGTGCGGACATTAAACGTTGTCCAGAGTCCAATGAAAATGTGTCACATCACCTCCTACTCGGTACTGCTCGGCACTCGATGACGTGGTTGCACATGATTCGCCTCTGGACGGTAAGCTGTGTCTGGTGTCCGCACAGAATAATCTCTCCAATGAAGAACAGGTCAAAGTGGGACACGAGATTTAGCTCCCTATATACCTCATAAGAAAAAAAAATATCAACATTGGAAGACATCAATCACCTCTCTCCAGTCCACCTGTTGCCAACTCATAGATGAAAATATCTAGTAGTCCTCTTAAAAATCCGAAACCACCTCCAATCATTGTTATCTTCTTCTCGAGCTTTAAAAGGGTCTCAAACCCAAGATCGACAAACAAACCAAAAATTTGCATATCATAGTATTATTTCATCATTCCACAGCTACTATTCTATGCCAGATGGCTCCCCCTGCTTCTTCATACAACAGTGTAACATCGCTTATTCTAGTTTTATGCACTTTGATAGTTATTTCTTGTGCTAGTAATTTCAATCAGGAGTTCGACATCACCTGGGGAGGTAGCCGCGCACAGGTGCTAAATAATGGCCAGCTTCTTAAGCTTTCTCTAGACAGAGGTTCAGGTTCTGGCTTCCAATCCAAGAATGAGTATCTATTTGGAAAGATTGATATGCAGCTAAAACTAGTTCCTGGGAACTCTGCTGGCACAGTCACTGCTTATTATGTATGTGAAGCTCATTACTTAAGATATAAATATTTTGGCATAAAAAAAAAGTAACTGATCATTTTGTTGAATTTGTAGTTTTCATCACAGGGACCGACTCACGACGAGATAGACTTCGAGTTCCTTGGAAATCTAAGTGGAGATCCCTACACACTCCACACAAATATTTTCACACAAGGGAAGGGGAACAGGGAACAACAGTTTCGACTATGGTTTGATCCAACCATCAACTTCCACACATATACTATTCTATGGAACCCCAGACATGTTATGTAAGTGAATCTTATATGTATAGTATATAAATGTGTCTTAATATATTTACTAGGGGTGTCAAAAAATTGATACGACCCAAAACCCGATCAGGAAAAATCGGGGTTTGGGTCAACCCATTTGTGAAACGGGTCGGGTCCTTGTTCGGATTTCCAACCCGTTTAAAAAACGGGTCGGGTTTAGGTTGACCCGGAAACCCACGGGTCTACCCGATTTGACCCGGAAAATGGCTTCCGTGGTGCCGCAGTGCCGCATCCGGTGTGTGAGCCGGTGATCCGTGAGCGTGACCTCCTCAGTCCGTCCAACTTGACCGCCACTCCGTTAGGCGTCAGTTCAAAGTCTGAACCTGCATGTCGGCTGTCGCACCGTTGCAGCCCTTGCTTGGCTTGCCTGCTACGCTGGCACCGCGGCACCCGCGGGCCGCACTCGCCTGCTGCGCTGGCCTGCACTGGCCTCGATGCCTCGTCTGCTGCACTCGGCCGCTAGCCTTGCCTGTAGCGAAGCCTTGAATACCGAACAGGTTAGGTTTCGCAGGTCGGGTCAACCCGATAACCTGACTAGGTCGGGTCAAAGTTGGCAATTCAAATCTGTTAAACTAAACGGGTCCGGTTCGGTCAACCTGTTTATACCCGGGTCAACTCGGGTTGAACCCGAACCCGACCCATTGACCCAAATTGACACCCCTAATATTTACTAGATAAACATTTGAATAATCACCATGCATGTATTATTGTTTGAAAATCCTAGATACATGGTTGATGGCATACCAATAAGAGATTTCAAGAACCTTGAATCAAGGGGTATTGCATTTCCAAAGAACCAGCCTATGAGGATCTATTCGAGTCTGTGGGATGCCGAAGATTGGGCGACAAGGGGTGGGCTAATTAAAACTGACTGGAGTCAGGCTCCATTTATTGCCTCCTATCAGAACTTCATAGCTGATGCATGTACATGGTCCTTTGGTACATCTACTTGTGCCTCAGGTACAATGAATAAGGCATGGTGGAATCAAGACCTTGATGCAACTAGTGAAGAACGAATGAGATGGGTGCAAAAGAATTACATGATTTATAACTATTGCACAGACATGAAGCGATTCCCTCAAGGTGTTCCTCCAGAATGTTCGGTAGCTTAGATTTTGCGTGCTTGTGAGATGTGGGAGCATATTTTTATTTCAGTTCGAGGTATTCTAGAGCCCGAGGGGACACTTTAGTTCTTGGAAAAGGATTGCCATATGATTTCTGAAGTAAAATAATGTATTGCAATGTACCAAAAAAAAAAGGAAATCCTCTGTAAAAGTTTAAGGAATTTATAAATGTAATTTCTATGAATGTACTGCTCTGTTACTGCTACGACATTTCCTTCAAGAAAGAAAATTGATTTAAACAGAGTGGAAGGATAAGAATAAAATAATAGAAAATTAAACTTTATATGCCCCATAATACTCATAATTGAATAAATATGCTCGTTATTTCAGCTCTTGAGAAAATATCACAAAAGCTCCGTTCGGATTAAAATAACCTCAGAATTTAAAGAGATGTTGGAGTATTATATTAACAATTTTTTGAGTAAGAAGTTGATCTCTTCCTATTCTGAGCATAGTTTTCTTCTCTAGACTGTCTCATTCACAAGTAATGATTATGAGATGAAGTTCAAAAGAAACATTTCCGTCTCCTTTTTCGTTAGCCAGCAATTATCCTTTTAAAAGTGAGTGTATTTTAGCCAGCAATAATATTCAACGCTTATTTGACTCAATGTTGGCCATAATTGACTTAAATTAAGTACTCCACGGTTAAAAGTGAGTGTATTTTAGTCCGAAATAAACTTTCGAGCTTATTTCCCTAAAAAACGAAACATTGGACATGTGTCTATTTCCAGGCATAATAGAACATATAAAGTCAAATTTTTCTAAAAGAATATGTATTGGTATTTCTAGATTGAACCAAATCCTAAACAAAAAAAGCAAATTACTAACCCATGATGCGCAAGACCTTGAAAAGATAGAAAATATGATAAAGGGAGAAAAAGAAAAAAATATTAAATAATTGCAATATAAACAAGACTCAAGTTTGAAGAAGGAAATTGCCTATATGAAGATTTTCAGAACTCACACCCAACAAAAGATCAAATGTTAAAATAAATGACGAGGAGTATTCACGTCATCTTACATTTATCCCAACTAAAGAACTCTTCCATATCCAAATAATAATTGCAATCACGCCATAAATCATTTTAAATGACTCAAATTTCTCATATTTTTGGTGGAAAAAATAACATATTACTGAAAAATTGCTAACAAATTCAATGACATTGATTACAGTAGTCTTAATAAAATATAAAAATCTAAAAAACAAGAAATAAGACTAATATCTATGAAAAAATTAAAACTCAATTTATGTCCAAATCAATTCCCCTAGTTGCAAAACACTCAACCTATGAGAGTGGTAGTAATGCCTTATAATTTATTAGATAATACATATGATTAATAAGTAACTAAGACTGATGGGAAGTTATTGATGTGTTACCATTAGTACAACAGTTCATGTTAAATATGTTAAACAAAAATTTATCATGGTTATATCGTGATGAGTAGAATGGTTAATACCAATTTAAAGTTTACAAAACCAAAAATGTTCAAATATCATGTAAGATGAGCATGTTGAGCTCATGAGGCTTATGTGCTAAATATTGATTTGATGCTTATGTGGTGTCATTTAATGATTTATACAAAATATTTCCATACATGTCTATCACTTTATAACAACCGTCAAATAAAACAGTCAAATGTAGTTTATTTTTACTAAGCTTGCATAGAGGATTGCTCGCTTGGAGGATAAGCTAAAATGTATGAGAAATGAAGACACAAGCGAAGAATCAATGACTTCAAGGTCACGGTACAACTTAGGCTTCATTTGGGACAAATTTTTTATTGCTTTTTAAAACAAAGTTTTAATACAAAACATCAAATTTTTGTACTAAAACTCTGCTTTAAGAAGCAATAAAAAAGTCATCTCAAACGAAACCTTAGTGTACAAGTTGCAGGATTTTTAATGTAAAATAATTAGGTAGAGTTACCAAAGATCTCAAAAATAATGGACAAATAATTAGAATTGATTGATTTTTATCTATATCTATTCAAAATATATATTTAAAATAAAAAAAATATATATTCATAATATGCTGGATTTTATTTGAGTTGAATTTTTATACATTTGAATTATTTCATATTCTATATGGGTATTTCATTTTAAATATTATTTTATGTTGTAATCATGTGCTTAGTTAGTTCATCATTATGCACTTACAGCGTTAGCAAATTTATCAATTCAAAACATTTCATTAAATTTGCTTAATTGAGTTAATTAAATATTAACTATATTTAAATAAGTAATAATACTATACTTAATTTCTTGATTTTTATTCATTGAATTCATTAGTTTGTTTAAAAATAAATCATATATAATATATTATGCATTTGTATTTGTATTTATATTTATATTTATCATGTTATCATTTTTAAGAAAAAGCTATACTATTTGCATTTCTTCCATTCATTACATGTACACATGCATATGCGCACCTATGAGTGTAAACTAATCAAGCCGAGCTCAAGCCAAGCCAAACATGACTTTCGAGCTTGAGTCGTCTTACAATCCTATGCACATCGGACCTATGAGTATAACCATTATTACCCTCTTTCTTTTCTAAAACTCTCCATAGCACTTTTCTTGAAACTTTATCATAAGCTTTCCCTAAATCAATAAATAATATATGTAGATCTTCCTTACTCTCCCTATACTTTTCCATTAAACCTTTCAATAAATATCTAGCTTCCATAGTAAACCTTACCTATCATTAAGTGGGCTTGAGTCTGCCATTATGAAGCAAGCACTGATGAGAAGAAATAATCCTTTGAAGGCTGCTATGGTATCTAAATCTACCGTCCAGCTAGGTTTATTGATGGTCTTACCCATGGTTATAGAGATTAGGCCGAAAAGGGATTCAAAACTGCATTGGGCAACATAATCATCATACAACTTCAATTGTACTTAGTGTCTTTTACATTCTTGCTTGGAACAAAATCCCATTACTTTGGACGAACAATCCTAAATGGCGGAGCAAATTATAGAGCTATTAGACGAGGATTCGTTGGGCGACATGTAAAGTTTGTAGAGAACTACAAGATGTACTCTAGTAATCATTTTACAAAGGGTCTGGAACTTATGCTGCCACTAATTGTTTATCAGATTTATGGATCTGCAACTACTAATTCAACAACCTTTATACTTCTGACTGCATCCATGTAGTTCTTTATTGTCACCTGGTTTTTTGCACCATTTCTTTTTAACCTTTATGGCTTTGAGTGAAAAAAAATAGTTAATGATTGAGATGACTGGAGCAAGTGGATAAAAATTGAAGGCATTGGCATAGATGTTAAACTGTGGTATATTCTCAATAGTGAAGTACGAGCAAATAATGAAGGATATAGAACTGGATCATGTGCTAAGTGGTTCTTAACAGAAAGTAGATTTTGTTGTTAAAATAGATGATCAGGAGATAGTTCCCTTCTTTACACATTGAGGAATGTAGTATTGATACGACATGGGGGCCCGCCTTTTGGGGCTTAGGGGAAGATATTTATAAGGTTCCAAATCAATGGGAGTTGTTTAGGAAGTTTCCTCATTAAGGGTGAACTGTTTAGGAAGGTTTTCAAATTATGTTTATATTGTTTAGGAATATTTCATAAATCATGCTTAATTGTTTATGAAGGTTTTCTAAATTATGTTTATACTATTTAGGAAGTATTATTGTTTAGGAAGATTTCCTAAATTATGTTTATATTATTTAAGTATTTAATTGTTTAGGAAGATTTTCTTAATTATGTTTAGTTGTTTATGAAGGTTTCCTAAATTATGCTTAATTGTTTAGGAAGGTTCTATTTGTGTTATGATGGCTAGGGCTATTTAAGGTGGAGTTGTCTTGGACTTATATCATGCTATTGATGAATTTTGTGGGTGTTCGTTGCAGTTCTTTTCTTTGAGGGCTTCCTAGCGACGTTTAGGTTCATTGGAAGAGCCGATCTACATCTCGAATTATAGATCACTTGTATCTTGTTTTCTCTTATCGTTTTGATTTTACTACAGTTTTTATATTGTTGTTTGCTATTTTTGCTTCTAAGATGTATCAGGATCTACCATTTATTTAAATTTATGTTTCATTGCCTTGTCTGTAATAGATATTCCTCCAAACACCCCTCTAGCATAATCATTTACTAATAAAACCCTCCTAGTTTATCACACGCCCATCTCAACAATATCATTTCTATCACAATCAACGTCGCTACTAATGAATTATTTTTAATAGATTTTGCATGATATATTCAAACCAATAATGCCTTGATGTCACATTATCATCTAGGAGTATTGGCATGTAATAATAAATATAACATCATTAAATTTTGATCTCAAATACTCGATTTATATTTTACTAAACAATTTATCATTGTCATAATTTTCCACTTATTTTAATAGTTGGAACTATGTTATCTAAAAAAATAATACACCAAAATGCTTCACTTCAATATGGAACATAATATCTTCATAATCAATAAAAAAATTATGAACTTAGCATTGATCTTTCATTTAATAGTGCTATGAGTAATAACTGTTCTTCTCGTTCCTTTCTTGAGGAGGCGATGTCTGGTGTTTCCACCTTTCAATACTTTGAATTTATTAAACTCCTCTGCTCCGTGTGCTCTGCTAGGGTTTCGTCTAGTAGGCCGCCGGCCGCCTCTTTTGGCCGCTAATGTCCAGGTTTTTTGCATTTTTATTATGGTTTTTGTTTTTGGTGTCTTGTATTGGTTGTTTTTTTGTGGTTCTTCCTCCTCTGGTCGTCCGGCATGGCAGTCAATCAAGTGCGGGATCCTAGTTTCCTTGACAATAAATCATCTTCTCGTTCCTTTCTTGAGGCGCTGTCTGGTCTTTCCACCCCGATTGCATTCCCAGAGCTTAAAGCGGTTACTCACCGGGGTTTGCCATCTCTTTGGGTCACTGAAGAGGAGGTAATCGTTTTGGCGGCGCCTCTCGAATTTTCCATAGTCGGTTTCTTCCCGAATCGTCAGGCACCCCTCGATGGTATCCGTAATTTTTTATTCAATCTTAAACTCAATGGTTTGTTCTCTGTTACTGTGCTTAATGCTAAGCATATCTTGATTAAATTGAGCAATGACTTAGATTATAGTAGGTTATTTGCACATCGTTCTTACTTTGTGCTTAATTGCTATATGAAGCTTACTAAGTGGTCTCCTTACTTTGATGTTAACGTTGAATCC